ATTATTTTAATAACTACGTTTCGGAGTATAACTCCATCTTCAGGTTTATAAAAGTGAATAAAGATATAAAAACTGTGATAAAAACTTTCAAAACAATTACAAATTTTATATGTAAGTGATATTTAATACTGTAAGAATTAAGAAAGTTCTTGAACAGTTGATGACGAAGACAATGACGAATACTTATGTCGTGATTTTTCTGTCGGCTTCACTTTTCGCTCGCTGTTATCGTTCCAGATATATATATATAGAGTTCACTGCGTTTCCCTCGTGGGTTTTCACCACTATTACCCGAATGTTTTTCGAGAGTACACCCTGCCTTTTAAACTAAAATGATAAATAAACTAAATCAGTCTCTATCTCAATCAGTATATAATATTTATATAACTGGTACTACAGTGATTATTGCTGCACTGACTTGAGCTGGTACAAACTTATTATAACTCATAACATAAATTTATCTCACAGGATAGACTTTAATTTAAGATAGACTAGCACAATTGCAAACAAAACATTTAATCGACTCCAGCTTAGTTACGTAATATTAGACGCTCTCTGATCGTAATGTATTATTCAAACAAGCTTTCGACTACCTGCTTCCCTGCTGGCAGAGGTCTCTATTTGTGCTGGGAAGCGAAGGAGAAGAGACCTCTGCCTAGATCTGACACTTCCTCAGTCCATGATCGTGGACCGTGGACGAGTCAAACCAGTTTGTAAAGCAAGTTCTGAAACCGGTTTAGAGAAACAAATAGTACGCGTGCTCAGAGCTGAATTACGCTGTAATGACATCAGGGCCGCAGAGAGGGGGGCAGGGGGCAAATTGCCTCGGGTCCTGAGGTGCTGGGGGGGCCTGAAATTTTTTTATTGGGCCCCAGTCTTTTTTGTGTGTTAAATATTTCCGCGCAAAGGACACGATATCTGTTTTTTGGGCTAAGTACCGAAATTTGGCATAAAAAAATGAGATAAAAAAGTTGTCGACGGGGGGGGGGAGGGGAGGTTGTTCTCCAAAAAAATATTTTTCCGGATAATTTTTTAGATAGGGCCCCCTAAAAAAAATTTGCCCCGGGCCCCCACCAACCTCTCGGCGGCCCTGAATGACATTGAGCCCGTAGTGTCAAAATGGCGGCTTGCACAATGGCTCGATCTGCTAGAGCGCCGACAGTTGCATTCTTTTGTAACCGCTCCTGGTTAGATCTAATAAATGTATAAAAATACCTTCAACATCAGTATAAAAAATTTATCTACAAATCCTTTCAACAATAAGTTATATCGAGTGAGATACCTAAAATCCTGATAGTAAACTGAAGCGCCTGGGTATACAGTTACGAGGCAGAGAAAATCCTGGAAATAGCGCCGCGATTAGTTTTCATGCACAGTTTCTATTCCAATTTCTTAGACACATTCCTGGAAGTTATAACGAAGGCACATCGGACTCCGGTAGAAAAATTTGAATTTCCACTAACCTCAAATCAGGATTATGGTTGGAATACTCGACCTTTGGTAAGGAATGGATATATATTATTTGTAAATTGTATACATTGTGTTTCCAAACTGCTGGCACTGGGTATGGATTTTAGTTGGGAATATGGAAATCCAATTTCAATCTGTTCATTTGTTAAGGTATTTTTGGTTGCGTTCATAGGTATATACAGTATTCGGCTACGTTTACACTGACTGTACCGGATAGTTTTTTGGAGCGACGTGAAAAAATATCTATCCGTTAATTCCGTTTCCCTTTTAGGAACGTTATTTTCAGTGAAATTATTGCAAAAGAGATGTTGTTTTGTTCAGGTTCGGAAAAGGCCGTTTTCCACTTCAAGCGTATCGTACCGCGTAACGTAGCGAAAACGTTTTTAAATTTCAAAATTTCGTGAAGATTGATTGGTTAGTACTTCCGTAGTACGCCAAAAAGTTGACTTGCGACGAACTTTTTATTTTGATACGCGAATACACCCGGAAGTACGTGGATTTATAGACCTCTTTTCAATCTGCGCATGCTCACCGATACGTTACGGTACGGGCGACGTGGAAAACCGCCTAAAGTTGTACATTCCGTATCGGATACCATGGATAATAAAATAAATGGATAGGACTCTAGCTGACGTAAGTAAAAACAACCTGGTTGCAATCTGTGACGTCACACGTATTGCAAAGTTCTCGGCATTTTTGTTGTTTCGCTATACTTTCCGCTTTAATAAAAGAGTAATATTGAAGCATAAACTGGTCTAATTGTTTTAAAAACATGCCTAAGCCACGACAAAGTATTCAAGGTAAATCTTTTTCGTCTTTGTTTTGTATTTTTTTACATTAAATTTTGTAGCTACGAAATTGACGATGTATTTTTCACTGTTTAGTGCTTGAAATATTTGCTAAAATTGACTGGGAATACTTAGAGATTTCATCGTAGAATGGCGTAGTCATATTTATTTGCTCTTTGACTAAAATGTTTAGCTGTATTATTGCTAAACATGCCGTTTTTGAGAATTTGGTTTGCAACTAGGTTTTAACATCCAACCACGCCATCAGCCCATTGAAAACATTAGTTTCCTATCCATTTATTTTATTATCCATGCGGATACTAAGGTGCTTTCGCGTCGCTATACGGGAAGCTAACCGGTACAGTGTAAACGTAGCATTATAGATGCGTGGACCGTAAGGAAAATGGGAAACACTGTTTCAATTGATAGATATAGGGGCAGAGAAGTGACGATTTTACTCGAATACCGGGAAAAGGAAGATTTGATTGATCTTCCAAGGTTCTCAAGCATATACAGTAATAATGTCGCAACAGGGTGAGGGTAATAAGGACTGGAGCTGACTTGTACCCACTCCCTGAATGAGGATTGATCATTCCTCCATGATGGAATGATTAAGCCTTATCAAACAGGTGGGCAATTTGTCTGCGCATGCGCGAAGAAAATCAATATGGCGAAATATATTAGGAGTGTTTCGTGAATTTATCTGGTTTTAAGCTGATAAAACAACATTTTAATGAACGCAAACTTTGTAATATTTAGTGGAAAACATTAAGCTATGCATTCCAAAGGTTTTTAATTGAAAATAAGTACAGGCAAGGTCATTTTTTTGCAAAAATGTAATCTATTATTTTACCCATCATTTGTTTAATCTGAACAGAAATAGATAGAACACTTGGCTATATAAGTTACAAAGGTATTGTTAGCTGATCTAAAAAAAATTCAGTATTCCTGGTACACATTTTAACAAAGAATAAAATGTAATTTCAAAAATTAAATATGCATATCAAAAACAATAGTTTTTATTAGAACAACATATAATAAGTTGTTATTTTCTATTTTTACAAAAACAAGTTTGGAAACAGGATTTAGCCCTCCAGCTTGATGTCATATTCCATTTATTTGGATATTTCAATAAAGAATGTGAAATAATAATTCAATCTTGTGCAAAATTTGATACCAACACACATGTAAACAGATATTATCACCTAAAAATAAAATAAAACAGAACTTAAATTTATCATCTAATGCTATGAAAAAAATCTTAGATACTACAGGCATATAGTGAGCACAATTCTTTGACAAGCTCACTAAAATAAGTTAAGTTATGCTATGATAAGAGCAGTGATGTTTTCCAGGGGGAACGCCGTCCCCCCACCTTTTTTACCAGGGGAACGGCGTCCCCCCTGCCAAAATCAAACATGGGGGAACGGCGTTCCCCCTGGCAGGGATTAAATATGAGTGAAATTCAGTGAACGCTGTTCGACACCGTCCAAATAATTTTGGCTATCACTTGTACAGTCAGTACAGACGTTGTACTACATACGTGATATTTTTGACAATAATTGCTCCGCAGTCCTACGTAGAAATACTTCAGAATGTAATTTTGTCACTATTTTAATCTCCCTGGAACTTGATATACTTGCAGAAAATTCTAGCAGACTAGCTTGATATAACTACTTATTGTCACAAGTGTGGATAACGTCAGGCAGCAGCCCAGCAGGATATAATTACTCTAGTCTTTCGCGCAATCGCGAAATTAATTAAACATTAAAATGATCAATTGGAACATAAAATGATTCAATAAGAACATTAACATGATTAAATGGGAAAAATTCAAGGATATTTATTATCTAAGCTTATTTAGTTACTCGCAAAAATGTCATATTTAACTTGCAAAGTTGCCTGCTTGCCGAGTTGCCGCATACTCAGTGCTCGCATAGCGCTAATTGCATCGTCGAAATTCGAAAAACAACGTAGTTTTATTTACTTTTTGGCATCTACTGCGAGCAAGCTAGGTGTTTTTTAGGTATCATGTTCTACTAAATCCACTTCAAAGATTAAGCTATTACGAGTATGTACTTGTTCGCTATGACCGTGCATGAGGCCACGCCCAATCGAGTGACCACGCCCATTTGATTTTCAAGAGCGTCCCCCCACTTCTAAAATTAGGAAAACATCGCTGGATAAGAGGGTGGCAATATATGACAACATCAAATGTCACCATATTCAGTGTCCAAAAAAAGTGCCGCGCGCATTTTTCATGGTCGCATAACTGGTATTGCCACAAACCCAGGTAAAAAAGCAATTAGAAAAACCTGGTTTTGGGTGATGAGCATAGTCAAATTCTTGACTTATACAACTTTCTAAGTTTTTCCAGGTAAACAGATTCAACATTGAAATAAGCCCCATTCGGAACCTCATAGAAACCAAAATATTGTGTATGGACCAGATTTTCTGTGATTTACATGACACTAGTTATAATTTAAGGGTCAACCAGTATTGTTCAAGACATATCTTCCTTCCAGAACACCTTTTCAAAATACTAACCCAAACATGTCAAAAATAGTGCACATTTACAAGGGCAATTTCAACCCTTTGGCACATTTTTCCCATGAATGATTTTAATTCTAATAAAAAGACTACAGATAAAGCTTTGATTTAAAGCTAGTTTCAAGTGATGAGCATACCCTAATTTTTAAGCTAAACCTCAAGGAAGATAGGTCATTTCAACATAAACATTGAAATATGGGTATACTGACAGCTCTGTCACACTTGTAGTTTGGCATTAACAGCCCTTCTGAAACATTTTAATGAAAATATAATTCACAAAATTCACACTTTCACTTACTTCTTAACATCTGTTTTATCCAACTAGCTCTGTAGGCACGAGCAAAATCTAGTGTTGATGTAAATATCCATTTAGTTCATGCGGTTTCCCAGGTGAAAATATAGTCTATTCCAAAGCTGGATTTCGACATACTTTAGCTTTTCAGAAACCGTTGGCCTTCCTCAGTAAGATTATCAACTGTTTCACAAACATATTTGATAGTAAACAGCTAAAATATTCTCTGAAAGTCTGTATTTTTCACTCTTCGACGCGAAAATGGCAACTCGAGAAGAAATGAGCCGCTATTTTTGGTCAGCGTCGACAAATTGCCCACCTGTTGCCTTATCACACTCTTCAGTCCACTGATTTCTATATGTACTATTATGTATAATTTACAGCCTTGGCGACTGGGTACGAGTCCGGGAGTGCAGTGCATTTGTAAAAAATTGTGAAATATCCGTACGGATCTGACCCTATATAGCCTTAGGAAAATATCAATCAGCTTATTAGTTTTAAAACAGGGTTCAAGTCAACATTTAATAACCCTAAATAAATTGTACCGTGCCTTATCTAAGCCGTGCATGTTTTATTCATACACCACACCCGAACCTGCTTACCGTAGTAAACGTACAAACGTGCTTACCGCTGTGAACGTACAAACTTCGTGCCAATGCATGACGTGTTTTATGTGTTTTCCATAGATTGATGGACAGCGTACAGATCCCAGATTACATCACCCAAGACAAAATTCTGAAGTGACTAAGTACATGGACGTGGCATGGAGAGTGAAAGAACAATCAGAAAATATGAATTAAAGATAACTGAATTATCCTAACTAAAATAACGCATCATTTGTATTTTATTAATTTTGCTATTTAATTTAATTAGTATTCTTCCAATTTGGACGCTATATAATTTAATTATAATGCATCATTGATATTTGGCAAAATGACTTGTCAATTAGCATGATCGACACGCACACTCTGTATATATAAAGCACGATGTATTTATGTTTGGTGTCGTATAATGAAATTTAGATTATCATACTATGTAATTTGATATCATTTGTAATATATAAAGAAAACATAATCAGATCTGAGTTACATGCAATATAAAACTTTCTTTGAAAAGAAAGCTACGTGTAATATGAACTTTCGATCTAAAATTCAATTGAACTACTGCAACTACTGCATTGAAGTAGTAAATGGTATGTACTTACAGAAGACTTACAACTTAAAGAAGAGTTACCCCAGGATGGAATATTTTTGAGCGAGACAGAGCGACGGATAGCCAAAATCACAACCTTCCCGGCTGTAAGCAACGAAAGGCGAGCAGATACTAGATCTACTGCATATGAATCTCACTTCCGCGTTATTATCTTAGTACAGCTGAACTTGCATTTGATTGAAGATAGCGATATGAATTGCGCAAGCAAAAAACCGGCTATAGAGCCTCGTTTTCGTGATTTCATAAGATATTAGATTTAGAGCCGTTTATCTTGTGAAAGGTGACATATTTACGAAATCATTCAGTTATATTAGATAATATGAAAGACCTTGATATAATTAGGTCATCGATAACAAGATAAAAGGCTCTAAAGCCAATATCTCAATCCCGAAAACGAGCCTCTATAGCCAATGCCTCATTTTCTGGAAGGGTTCGGCCCATGCAAGGTAATCCATGCACTCCGCAGATTCCGGATTCCATTCCTTAGATTCCGGATTCCGCTCCTTGGATTCCGGATTCCACTACTTGGACTCCAGATCGGTTGCGGATTCAGGATTTCAGAAATTGTCCCAGGATAAGGATTCAGGATTTCTCCGATGTTTGGATTCGATTCCACTGTCTGAATTCCGGATTGCAAAGCTATTAAAAGTCGGACTCTGGATTACCTTACATGGGGCGAAAGTGTCTATTTGGTTAGAAATTATAACCCGATCCGGTATGTTTGCCGAGCCAAGCATATCGTTTCGTTCACTACTAGATTATAACATGGGATGAGACTAAATACCAGTCGAAACAAAACTTGATCAGATGCCCCTATATGTCCGACCACAGGTCCGACGTCCCTCCGCACATTGAGCTTAGTATATTGACATTGACGGTGCAATGTAGTACATGTTGTAGCAGCAGAACTTGCGGCACTTGATTGATGCTAGCGATGTGAATTACCTAAACAAAAAAACGATTATAATTGGCAGTGATTGAAGCGACATGATTGGGTAGGTCATTGTAACCGGTATGCTTGCTTAGCCAATCATATTGTAGCCCGCGAACAGGCTCACTGATTGAAACAATATGATTCACATCATTCACCTTTCTCCCACTGCTAGATTAGAACATGTAAGTGAGACTTCTCGCTTTATATGTAATTTTCGCCACGCATAGATTAGATTTGTACCCTGATTTGTACTCCTGACAGATCGCGCTTTCACCGCAATAGACCTTTCCCCTTTTGACTGAAATTTTGATCTAGACCAGTCTGGACAAAAATTTCATCACAGCTTGAAAGAGCATCACAAAATTAGTAATATTCCGAGGTTTTGTTGAATGTTGTAAAATGCGGATAATATAGCCTTGCGAAGTTTGCCGTTTTTCAGTCATTTTGCATTACAAACGGGAAATTGATAATCAGATGATTAAACTGATTATCAATTTCCCATTTGTAATACAATGACTAAAAAACGGCAAACTTTGCAAGGCTATATTATCCGCATTTTACAACATTTCGCAACGAAACTTCGGAATATTACTAATTTTGTGATGCTCTTTCAAGCTGTGATGAAATTTTTGTTTAGGCTTGTCTAGATCAGAATTTCACTCATAAGGGGAAAGGTCTATTGTTAATTTTAAGCGGCTACATTATCCATGACAAACCGCAAAGAATCATATTACCCATACTCTTTCCTGCAATATATAGTTAATTAAATTGTAAGCAAATTGTAAGTTTCGACATACTAAAACTCTATTAACAACTCGAACTGACTTGACCACGTAGCTCAGTTGGCAGAACATTGGACTAGTATCCCAAAGGTCGCGGGTTCGACTCTCACCGCATCCTCGTTCCCAGGGCTTCTCGGCTGCCTGCGTTGCGCGTAAGCCCTGGGCAATTGCTAGATAGTATACTTCAAAATAAGGTTTCCATTTTTATATCAATTTTTAAAATAAGTTAGGGTTAGGTTAGGGTTAGGTTAGGATTAGGGTGAGGGTTAGTATTAGGGTTAGGGTTTAGTTTTGCGTTAGGATAGTTTTTTCTACGTTATAAAAACGGAAACCTTATTTTGAAGTATACTATCTAGCGATCACCGTAAGCCCTGGGACAAGCCGAACCGGAACACCACAAATTCTGGTGTTTTCCGGAAGTAAACGTGCTCTGCTGCAGCTAAAAAATGCTGACTGTGCATTAATTTTCACTGAGGAGTGGAGACGTGTTGGTGAGCAGAAATATTGAATTTTCCTTTTGTTTTGATGTATTTTCCACCATCAAGGGAATATGTGCAGACCACCCAATGGAATTATAGATATTGGGGTTTTATATTTCGTTATATCGTTAATATTCGTCAAAATACAACCATATTTCGGTCTCGTATTACATGTATCAATTTTCATGTATGATGTAAACATGATCGAGTCGAAATGTGCTCGAAGTGGTTGCTGTGATTCGAAACATCATGGGTTCTTGTAACACCGCGGAAAAACGTCTGCGCATGCGTCAACCTTACCTGTAATAGTATTGCGAACTTGATGAGAAGCTGTTCCGAACGTTTCCGAAGGCTCAAAATGGCGGTAAAAAGGAGTGACTTCATTGTGCATCTTTACAGCCAGATTTCGAGCGCAAAAATAAACATGTCATTCTAAAAACTAGGAATAAATACAGCCAGAAGGTTCAAGAAATTGTATTGTACAAGAACATGAACTAAGGTGATTGTTGACAAATTTATCGTCTGAAACATTTTGTTTATCAACTAAGCAACGACAATTTCCGAATTTTCGTTTGAGATACATTTCTTTAAAAAAAACTGTGTCGCCAAATATAAAAATTTGCGTGTTCACAATAATTAAACTTTAGGATTTATTCTACAATTTGAGTGGGTTAAGAAGCTTAACTTTTCGAGAGTTTTCTTAACTTTTTAGTTTGAATTTTTGTTTTGAATAATTTTGCAAAATTTTTCGAAGTCGTGTCCGTTAAAATCAACAATTTTTTACATGAATTATATTTCATTTCATACTTTAAATGCCAGGACGCTTTCAATTAATGTCTAGTCTACCCATTTGCTATATTTTCTCGTTTGTTTTACTAATTTTTGACCAATTAATACACATGTTTTTGTTTTAGAAAGTGATATTCAAATTCCCCGCAATATTTTCATAATTTGGTGCATGCGCAGACGTTTTTCCGCGGTGTTAAACACCGCGGAAAAACGTCTGCGCATGCACCAAATTATGAAAATATGGCGGGGAATTTGAATATCAATTTCTAAAACAAAAACATGCTTATTAATTGGTCAAAAATTAGTAAAACAAACGAGAAAATATAGCAAATGGGTAGACTAGACATTAATTGTGAGCGTCCTGGCATTTAAAGTATGGAATGAAATATAATTCATTTGTATTGTATTGTATTAAAACTTTATTTAAAGACACTAGCCCCGTCAACGGTGCGTTGGTTTCCACGGGGGGCGTCTACAATGTTAAAAATTACAAAAGATATAAGGGAAAAGAAGACTATTTACAAAATGGTGTGACCCCAGATGTTATGGTTAGACGGAGTTACAATTTATTTCAAATATATATAGTATTAGAGTTAAGTTTTAAATGGCTTTTGAACAGGTGCATTGATTCTGCCAGTTTCGTATCGATAGAGAGACTATTCCATAGCTTAGCCCCACTGTATTTAAAACTCTTTTTTTAGGAATTCTCTTTTAGGCTTAGGAAGAGCCAAATCTGTATGACTATTTCTAAGATCATAATTTGTTTGCATA